GGAAAAGGTTGTAGATCGCCTGCCCTGGAAATAATTCCCCGTCGGCAAAGGGAAGCGGGACGTCGGCGGGCGGAGCTGGCGCACAGACCAGTTTTTTTTTAATTAATTCATAAATAAAAACTGTAATTACCACCTTACCCTTCATTAAACTAGATAAACCTAAACCATTGGATTTTAATGAACTTCAATGGCTGAGATTGACTTAGTCATGTGACTAAGGGACCCCCCTTAGTCACCTGATCTTATCCCTCCATGGACAGTGACAAAGGGTTAGTCTCCTGTGATAATTTTTAGATAGATACAGAGACATTTCTCTCCTCTATATGATATCTCCAGCCAACATAGATGATGCCTGAAAACCACAGAAGCGTCTTTAGGCGTAGAGAATGGAGGGCAGTTTTTCATACCCATAATTGAGCTAACTGTTACCCTAGCTTTCAACACCATTTTTGTTCCTCTGACAAAGAAAAAAGCAATAACTATTAACTACTGATTATAAACTTATCAAGTTAGCAATAATGCTCTACTCAATTGATCAACTTACAAAGAAGTGGAAGCCGGAAAGGATGTGATACCTAACCAAGTTTGTCTCATTAAGCATGCCGATGAGAGTCAAATGCCATTCTTTTGCACAACGTTTGGAAGAAGCCTTAGAAAGATAAAACTTTACGATCGACCGAAGGTGGATGCGGCTTAAAAAATTGGTACATGGGTGGCAATTATGCAGCCAGCCTGAAATCTCATCAATTTGAAACTGCAAAACTTTGATCAAAGCATCACATACTCGTTGACTGTATCCTATCAGTGCCAATGGCTCATTCAAATTGGCTCAACCAACAAGTAGGTGCTAGTTACATTATTGAACGCAGAGTCTCAATTGACTAGAGCAGGAGAATGAATAGCTATTTCAGCAATTAGACAGCAAAGAGCCAGAGGAGATGTTTTTGACTACTTGACTCCCATATCTTAACCGCAGTCAACAAAAGCCAGCACAGTCGTGTGATATGATCGCTCTACGTCAACCAAGAAGTTCATGATCCTGCACTGCACGTCTATCCCTAAAAGAACTCGCCCCTAAATACGCCCAATCACGCGCTAAGTGAAGTACAAACTCCATAGTGTGTTAGTGTTTCTCCATTTAGTACTGGAACTCAACCTTATTTAAGTTCAGCTTCTACCCTAATATATGATTCAGACTCCTGAAACAATATTCATGGTCATACTATTCAGCATCTACTCTAGTCTACAACGGCAAAAGCTAAACAGCATTCAATGTACGGTAGCATGTTGATCATAGTAAGATACTAAGATTTCAAACTCTGTCATTTGTTCTTTAATTCACCTTGGCAGCCATCACTAAGAATGTTACTCTCCATACTTCAGTGGACCGTATGCATGTAATTCTAAAATTTCAAAAGCGAAATTACAAACCTAACCGATTCATGCTATGCTACTATCATTGCAGCTTTCAGTTACTACTACCAGACTTCATGTACACTTAGAAGAATCTCTAGGAGCTAGCATGCTTCAATTTGCATGTCCATGTGCAATCATACCTCATAAGTCATAAGCCCATTTAAGGCCCTATAGCAGTCAAGAGACTCAGAATCTCTGAATGGTCACGAGGCCCAAGCAAACGGACAAAGAGGTAAGGGTGAAATTCCGAATTCACCGCCGGTTAGAGCGAACCACGAGCCGTGACGTCGGAGTTTCCACGCTGCGGTTTCTTGAAAGTTGATACTCTCACAAGAGCTCGGTCCTGGGGGCGTAACTTTACTGCGCCCTCCTCAAATTATGCGGTAAACCATCCCCAAAACCGACGACGCAGGCAGCCGCCACCAGCCCCTCCGCGATTCCGGCCTTCTTCCCGCGCGCCACTCATCCCTGACGAATTCCCGATCTCGCCGTCCTCCGTCGCCATCGCATTGCCGCTCTTGTTCAATCCCAGACTTCGAATGATGGAAGCACGTTTCTTTATTCAATTCTGACTTTCAAATCCTGTGCATGTCTGCTTATTGGAACAGTTTTCTTCGAGTTGGAAGAGTTTCATGAGTTACCCATCTCAAGCTCTCTTTAAACCAACCCGGCAGATTGTACAAGCCATACAACTCCATTCTTCCCGCGCTTTCTCCAGTGGGCGGCGCTGGGATTCCAGCCATGTGGTGGAAGGAATTCCGCCAAGAGGCGTGCTCGGATACAATAACATTATGAAATGGCACGCAAAGAATGGGTCTTTTACTGAGGTACTCTACGTGTTTGTTGAAATGCGTCACTCAGGGAGCTGCTGGCCTGATGCCTATTCTTACCCATTTGTTGTCAAGGCTTGTGGTGAGCTGTCGTTGCTTTGGTTCGGCAGAGTGGTTCATGCCTTGACGTTGGTTTCCGGGTTTAAGTCTAATTCATTTGTGCAAAACTCGCTGATGGCAATGTATATGAACTGTGGGGAAAAGGCTGTTGCTAGGAAGGTGTTTGATTTATTTGATGAGAAGGGTGTGGTTTCTTGGAATACTCTGATCAATGGATATTTCAAGAACGGGTGTTCTGCCACTGCTTTGGTGATTTTTGATGAAATGATGCGTTGTCGGGTTGAGTTAGATGGTGTCACTGTGGTTTCTATACTGCCAGCTTGTGGGCATTTGAAGGAATTGGAGGTAGGAAAGCTGGTACATTTGTTAGTGAAGGAGAAAGGGTTGGATAGGAAATTGGAAGTATTGAATGCTTTAGTGGATATGTATTCAAAGTGTGGCGAAATGGAAGAAGCCAGGATGGTGTTTGACGAAATGCTTGAGAGGGATATTGTAAGTTGGACAACCATGATTAATGGGTATGTCCTGAATGGTGAGGCAAGAACTGCATTGAACTTCTGCTCGGTCATGCAAACTGAAGGAATCAGGCCCAATTTTGTGACAGTGGCCTTACTTCTCTCTTCTTGTGCAATCTTGAAGGATTTTATGTATGGGCGTTGCATCCATGGATGGGCTTTAAGGAAGCATATCGACTTGAGAGTTGAAGTAGAAACGTCATTGATTGACATGTATGCGAAATGCAGCCGGCTTAACCTTAGCTTTGAAGTCCTCCGCAGAAGTTTAAGAAAACAAACAGTTCCATGGAATGCTATGCTCTCCGGTTGTGTTCATAATGGTCTTCCAGTTGACGCAATAGGAGTGTTTAAAGAGATGCTGACAGAAGGAGTGAAACCGAATGGTGCAACAATGAACTGCCTCTTACCTGCATACGCTGCTCTGGCTGATTTACAGCCTGCGAGAAATGTTCATTGTTTCGTTACGAGATTGGGGTTTCTTTCTCGTGTTGAAGTTGCCACTTGTCTAATAGATATATATTCCAAGTGCGGTAGCCTGGAATCAGCTCACCAGATCTTTAATGCATTGCCTATGGTAGTCAAGGATATATATGTATGGAGTGTAATTATAGCGGGTTATGGGATGCATGGACATGCAGAAACTGCAGTTTCACTCTTTAGGCAGATGGTCGACTCAGGGGTCAAACCGAATGAAGTTACATTTACCTCTGTATTGCATGCTTGCAGCCATGCGGGATTGGTAGATGATGGCCTCTATTTGTTCAACTTGATGCAGGAAGATACCCGGAGAAGTCCGAATGTCGATCACTATACATGTATTATTGATCTGCTTGGTCGAGCAGGTCGATTAGAAGAAGCCTATGATATTATTACAACGATGCCAAGTGCACCTAGCCATGCTGTTTGGGGTGCACTCCTTGGAGCTTGTGTGATACATCAGAAGGTTGAACTGGGGGAATTGGCTGCACAATCGTTATTTCAACTTGAGCCTGAGAATACTGGAAATTACATATTGCTGGCAAAACTTTATGCTGCAGTAGGGCGGTGGAAAGATGCAGAAGCATTAAGAGATGTGATGAATGATATAGGATTGAGGAAAGAAGCTGCTTACAGTCTTACTGACATGTGACATCTGCAATATGTGAAATGATGCAGTATTCCTTCAAAGGGTCAACCTCAATTAGTAAGCATGGCGACAATGGTTAGTGCTAACTAAATACTTGTAGACATCTAGATATATGTCTTCCTTCAGTTTCCAATAAACTCAATGTGACATAGATAAGGAGGAGTGCATTCTATTATTGAAGTTTGAACTTAAAAACTGCATAAAAGTCGATAAATATGTTATGACATATGTTTTTTTATGTCTTCCAATGATTGTGCATGCTTCCACTATGCAATTTGTTGCACTTCAGTCTTTAGGAATGGCACTTTATATGGCTGAAACAGTTAAGTTTGTTTTAGCCCCTAGAAGCAGATATTGAGTGCTCTTTTACGTAGATGGTTCTTGCATATGGGATGTAACAGTTCAAAGGTTGAAAAAGCCTTCTGGCCAACTGAACTCTTACATTAGGAGATGTACAAGTCAATTTATGAGATTATGGACGCAGAGATGAATCTTTTGATCATGTCGAAATCTCGAGATTCCTTTTTCATTCACATTCATAGAATATTTGTTCAATCCAAGTCTGACTTTTGTATCGACAAGGATCCAATCTCAGAATCGGCTTCCTCTCGTTAAGTCTCGTTGTAAACTTTGTATGATATCTTTATGTTTATGTTTTATTTGTATTTTGGATCGAACTGAACCAGATGATCTGTAATGTTTTTAACATATTGTCAAATTATGTCTTTGTTATACTAGTGCATGCAATCGTTTAGTTTCTGAAAATATTTATGAAATTGAATCTTTCTGTAGTTGGGGGATGAAAGATGGAGATGTCAATCGGAGCGAGTAACAGAGACCAATGGAATACAAAAGTTTAGAAGAGATGCTAACTTTTGATCTCCATCCTGCAACTGCCAAGTTCACAACTTGATGCAGCTGAGGCAAAAGCTGCTAACAATGTAAGAAGTAAACCTTAGCATCCTCTAGTCTGAACATCTTTCACTGTAAGTACGTTGAAATTGCATTGTTCGGATTAAAGATTGGACCTTCGCTGATTTTCTATAAAAAAACACGAACATGAGATGGAATCTTTATTGATATTGTTATGCATAAACACATGAATAGGATTAGCCAACTTCTCATAACTGTATTTGGCTCTATAATTTTCATTTTCACTTTTTCCAGGTTATCGACAATAATTACTAAAACATAATTTATTTCAATCACCTTGGACTGACTCCTTATAACATATGATATCCAGGAACCCCAGTGATTGTTTGGATCAGCGTCGATCTGCTCGGTTCTCCAAGGCTGATGCAGCTGAATCTACATGAGCTAGTAGACAAGCATATACCTTTTGCTTCAGACTATCAATATTCTTGATCAATGGAGCATTGGTTTCCATGTTCAGGTTGTTCCTTAGTTTGTCTAACCAGTCATTTGCATGCTTGAGTTGTGACAATGTGACAGCAATCTGGTTGTTCTCGGCCTCCATCATTAGTCTTCCTGCAACACCACCTTTCCCTTTCTTTTCCTGGACAGGCATGCGGAATCCAGAATCTAACGCCCCATCCATGAATCTTAGAAACCAAGTTCTTGTTTCATGTATAAGGGTTTCTCTTAGTTCTTTAATATCCTTTGCAGCATCTACTTTGGCCCATTCAATCTTTTCAGCTGCGTTGAACTCCATGGATGATGCAGTCTTTATAGACTTTCCTGTGGCTTTCACATGAAGGGAACCAATTCTTTTGCTAGTTTTCTCTGTTTCGGGAGGAACAGTCTGAAATGACTTATCCTTCAGTGGAGTTGTGGCTACATTTGGCTGGTCAATGAACTGTTGAAGCGCGAAGAACTTTGTGAGGGGAAGATGGGGGTTCTCTGGTGAAGCAGATGAGCACAGCTCTGCAAACAAACTGAAAGAAAGGACATGTCTTAGAAAATGAGGGATAGAGACGGTATGAACTTGTTGGAAAATATAGAGTTGATGCACACTTGAGGCACTTGACGAGACTCGAAGCATTTGATGCCTCCTTCTGTGCTTCTGCTGCAACCATAGAAGCTAAATATCTCCTCCTTAGCATTACCTATAAATGAAACGCCTAACATGTCAAGTTAATAGATCGAACAAAGTGAAAGAAAAATAGAGATGGATGCTTACCTTTCCAGTTTTAAGCAAGTTAGTTGGTAGAGAGGCCCATGATATTGCATCAGAAGATAGATACTCGTGTTTGTTGCTTGAAGATGAATTCAAGCTTGCATTTTTCTGCTTATTTGATGAACCTCTTGCATATTTACTGTTTGAAGATACTGAAATCTCTTTGGTGGTGGCGGTGGATGCCAGTACTTCAGGATTTGATGGAAGTGTTTCAGGTCTATTCCGGGATGGTGAGGTTGGTCTTTCCTGCAACGCTTCTGCGAATTATCGAACTCAATTCAGGTGTTCCAATTTTTATGTTCTGAATCATTTTCTAATTGTTACTGTTATGCTAGAAATACAATACCTGACCTTTATTTTCATGCTGCTTGCCCTTTGCTGAAACACCCTGCATATACCTGGAAGCAACAGTAGCTCTCTCCTCTTTGATAACAATTTTCTGTCTCGTGTTCTCCTCTTTCTTCAATTTTGAAACATTCACTCCTTTATCATGTTCAACAGGTGGAGGGCCATCCAACATTTGCATCAAATCTTTTGGGTTCCCTACGAATGGATTTCTTCCAGGGAGTGGTCTAATGCCAACTAGGATTGGGACTGGGGTTCCTGCCTCTGCTCTATCAACATAGAAGAACTGTCCGAGCTGTAGCTTGTTGTTCAAGATAAGCTCGTTGTCTTCCTTTGAGAAAGAAACATATGTTGAATGAGAGGAGTCAGAGACTTTGATGAAGAAGCCTTGATTGGGCCAGAGCTCTGAGCCACACAATGCAGGAACTATGCTGATAACTTGTAACAGCACAGATCGATATTCACCTCGAACTCTGACGTTCGAGTTGATGCTTTGGAGAAGCTTTAGCAGCACTCCTGGTATTAGAGATGCCATTGATTCATGGAGTTTTCCCCCCTTCTTCTTCTTCTTCCTGTTTCAGCAACAAAACTTTCAGATGTGTGTTTAGTTTACTATACCACTACATGATTCCATTAAAGGGTCAGGTCTATAGTTTTTCATATTCAATTTCTGTTCATTCGTATCTAGTTGTAGTGGTGTTTGATAATACCAATGAACAGACTGCTAGAACTTGCAGAGTTGTTGCTGCGCTTCATTTCCCTATGAATAAACCAATTACGCACTTACCTCCTTAGTGATAATAAGATTTCTAGTTCCTAAACCGAGTCTTCTTATCAAAGACGTTTGCGTTTATCTGTTTCTACATTCTTTATTAGAATTTTCTACGATGAAAATTGAGACCATGTTTAGTAACTATATCCTCAATGAGTCAACATGCAATGTATGTTAAAAAAATCTGCATTTCTCCACTCAGTTCAACTCGTAGATCCCATATTTGTTGTGATTTTTACTTTTCATGATGCATCCACGATATGTAACTTATAAGGTCGTGATTGATTTGATTTAGTCGATATGAAGGACAAAAGAGAGATGTCAAGCGGGTAAATGCCACATTTGGTCACTGTGATTATTAAATCGTGTCATGTTTAGTCACTAGAAAAATTTAATATCAATTTTGGTCACTCGAATTACGGAAACATGTCACATTTGGCACTCTCATGTAGCCTCTGTCCAACTCCGGTCACTCGAATTATTGAAACAAGTCACATTTAGTCACTCGAATTACTGAAACATATCACATTTAGTCACTCTCCAGCTAGTTTCCGTCCAACTCTATTAACGGGAGAGTGACTAAATGTAACCAGTTTCAGTAATTCGAGTGACCAAAATTGATATTAACTTTTTCTAGTGACTAAACATGACACGATTTAGTAATCTCAGTGATCAAATATGGTATACATGACATGTGAAACATTAACAATGTGTTTACAAGGCATTGTTGTACCCCATTAGTAACTAATTTGGACTGAGATATTTATATAAGGATTAGAAATGGGTAGACATAGTGCTAGGTAGAAACTAGAAAGGTAGTGTTTTGCTTGGGGTGTTCAAATCTTATTTCATTAAGGTTCGTGTCTTTGTAAATAGGAATTAATATGTTTAAAAAAGAAAAAACAGATACTCACATAATATAATTTTCCAATCGTGTACATCAATAAAAGAATATAGCCTAAGATTGGTTAAAAAAGAGTGTTCATTTGCATACAAGATCATGATGAAGCTACTTAATCAACATCATTAAATTTTGTAAGAATTACAAAAAAAAATCAGTAAACCTAAACTATGACTTTCATATACCAATAATCAAGAAACATAATGACTAATAAAATGGAAAATTAATCTCCAGAATATGTGCGATCAAAATACACATGATATATTTGGCAAAGAAATTTGGAAATAAATGAAGGATAATCACCAAAAAGAGTTTAGAAAAAGTGTAATCACTTAGGATTTTGAACGAATGGTGTTTGAAAAGCGTAAAGTGGTGTGTAGAACGAAAAGAAAAGAAAAGACAAAAAAGAAGCATTTATGGACAATTCCTCTAAAGTTTGAAAGAATTAATAAAAATCACTTAATGAATGGTAAAACTTAAATTATATCATACCAATAAACAAGAAGCACAATGACTAATAAAATGGAAAATGTATCATCAAAATACACGCAATACATATGGCAAAGAAACCGGGAATTAACAAACAAGAATCAAAAAGCATAATCACCAACAAGAGTGTAGAAAAAGTGTAATTGCTTAGAATCAGGGTGGATGGTATTTGCAAACACGAGTAGTAAGAAAAAAGAATGAAAATGATACTTGCGAGTAATGCCCCTAAAATTGGAAAGAATTACTAAAAATCCACATAATAAATAGTAAAATCTTAAACGATAGCTTCTGATATCAATACGCTATAAGAATGTGGTTATCCTCATTTGACTACTATTTTGGCGACCAAATGCTTGGATTTGTGTACCATGCCGTCTGAAGGAGTCAAACCCCAGTGTTTTTGAAGATCAAGAAATGCAGACCACAAGGAAATTGGAGGAAACCATTTGGCTTCCTTCAATATGACCAAAATTGACAAAGCAAGGTCAAAGCCTTTGTTTGTCCAATACATGACAGAATAACAGTAGATGTATACCAGATGAATTTGCAGCAGGCTGAGAAATAATAATAAGTGATATAATTAAAAACACAAACACAATCTTACCAGTGACCAATTGGCAAGAGAAGAAACAGTGTGTACCTCAGACAAGACCTGACTTCCAACAAAGAATGAACAACAGAGAAAGGCTTGAAGTTCCGCCAAGAGAAGGATTTGTGTCTGTTACAGGCTTTATTATGACAGGCAAGTAAGTACCAAGGCAAGCAAGAGACCAAAAAAGTGGTTTCCTTTTTGTTGGGGGAAATCAGTTGGCAGACCAAATTAAGGTTAGAAAAATGATGGGTTTGCATGGTAGACAAGTAATCATCAAACAAGTTTCTTGGCTTTTAAGCCAAGAAACAATTATTGATGGTCCAAAACATGTGGGCCAATGTGGTAAAATATGTGCAAATACAAACTTTTTTCTTTTTCATGCCCTAATTTATGTGTAATCTGAAATTTTTAAAAAATAAACTTAAGTCAAGAAGACGAATTAATAATATGAATAGTACGATACTAGATCGACTAGTGTATTGCACAAAGTGGAATGATATTTTGCCCGAATGTTGTAGCTAGTGAAGTCCAATGTAAGAAGGATAAGGCAACCATGTCATGTTGTTGCGGATGAGAGTTTGGTTTAGTGGTCCTATCACTGGCGTAAGATCCTTGACTAGGTGTATTGCACGTAGAGAAATGACATTTTGCCTGAATGTCGTAGTTCGTTGAGTAAGATCCAAGAAGGATAAGGCAACCATGTCATAATTTAGCAAACAAAATTTTGATTTAGTTATACTACCACTAGTCTTGAATTTGGAGATCTCGTATTCTAATCTCTTAAGTAGCACCTAACCTTAAAGAATAAACATATGTCACCTTAAAATAAAATAAAAACAAGACATGTTGTGAATAGCAAAAATCTCAATAAAGAACTTTTTGAAGATTAAATTTAGTACCGGTAATCAATACAACAAGAATCCCAGTCACTTTCTCATTTCTATTGAATTTGCTCCTCTTTAGAAACCTTGATCACTCCATCAATTAAGGTTGGTACCACTTTACCTGTCTGGTGCTATGGTGCTTTCCGACCAATGTTTTCAGGACCAACCTTCTCCTTCAAGCAACTGGGGAGAGACAAAATGTGTTTTTTACTAATCTTGTAGTTGAAGCATTTAGAGTACCAAAAATCTGCATAATGTATTCAATATTCATGTTCTACTCCATTCAAAATTTATTCAATACTTCCTCCCTAACCACCAAGAAGAAGAAGAAAAAAGTACTTTTCGTAACATTTTCTCTACATCACTTGACAAAAAGATTACAGCTTACAATAATACAACCTTAACACCATTTATACATTGTTGTCCTTCTACACCAAAGAACATATATTAGTGCTCAAGCAAACGCACTTGCTTCTGCGTCAGAACGAACCATGCTCGCGTAAACGCCATTGAGGTTTGATCTCAGGAGCGTGTTATGATTACCATGCTCGACGACCGAACCATCTTGAACCACCGCGATCATGTTAGCTTCTCTGATCGTCGAGAGCCGATGGGCAACGACGATGGTGGTGGCTCGTTTGGAGGCATTGCTGAGTGCTTGCTGGACGTGTTTCTCCGATTCCAAGTCCAGCGCGCTGCTGGCTTCGTCCAGCAGCAGCACACTCGATTTCTTCAGCATAGCCCTTGCAATTGCCAGTCTCTGCTTCTGGCCTCCTGATAATTGGAACCCACTTTCACCCACCTGTTGAGTAGACATGACAACAATGTCAACAAGCAATGTGTAAGATCGATCAGGTTAACTACCATTTCGTGCCAAGAGCTTAGTGACCAATGTGATTTGACCCGACCAGAAATGGGCTTAAAGAACACCAACTCGGTCACCCAACTCGTTTATATATGTCACATTGAACAGTAAACCAGGTTTTAAGAAAACTAAAGCATCAAAACAAATAGAGAAATTTGAACGACCTAGCATACCTCAGTATCGTAGCCTTCAGGAAGACTGCTGATGAACTTATGGATATAAGCATCTTTCGCCGCCTCTTCGATCTCAGCCCAGGAAGCATTAGGTTCTCCAAACGCAATGTTGTCCCTTATTGTTCCAGCAAACAAAGCAGGCTCCTGCCCTACCAATGCCGTCTGCCTTCTCAACCACTTGATATCCAAATCCCTCAAATCCACCCCTCCCAGTTTCACCTTTCCTTGATTAGGATCATAAAACCTCTGCACCAACCATATGACCGTCGATTTCCCCGAACCACTTCCTCCTACCAAAGCCACCATGCTACCACCTTTAACCTTCAATGAGAAGTCCCTCAGCACAGTAACCTCGTGCCTTGAAGGATAAGCAAATGTCACCATCTTCAGCTCGATATCCAACCCCTTCGAGGATCGATCAACCTTCTTTGCCTTTCGAGGGTTTACTATCGAAGGCCGACGATAGATGATGTTGAACACAGCCGGGATTGCTGTCGCAGCCATGGACGTATCCGGAGCTAGCCCCGCCAGCTGTCCGACGGAGAATGAGCTCAGAACAAGGATGAGAAAGATTTTGTACACGTCACCAAAGTTTGACTCCCCCTTGTCGACCAAGTAAGCCCCATAAAAGAGTGTCAACGTGTACGCACAGTACATTGCACCCTGAGAGAAACCTAGCGTGGCTCCCAAGACTTGAGACTTCTTCTCCGACTTCTTCTTCGGCTCAGCAAGAGCTTGTCCGAATGCCTGAACTATCCGTTCCTGAGATGCAAACGTAGTCACCGTCCTGATGTTGGAGACAGCCCCTGAGGCGATGTTGCTGGCTCGGGTGTAGGCTGCGTTGTCTAGCTTCGGACCCACGTTAATGATCAAGTTCAGGTAGCTTGCGCCGAGAGTGAAGGGGGTTAGAACTGCTGCCACTAGAGTGAGCTTCCATTGAAGGAAGAATGATAAACCAAGGCCCACGGCGGCTGAGCTTAGACCCATGAACAGGACCGAGAATCGGTCACCGAGGGCTGATCGGAAAGTGACGCAATCGATTGATAGTTTCGAGATGAGTGCTGCTGTGGAGTTTTCTTCGGAGTCGAACCAACCCGGTTCTTGTCTCAGAATGGATTGGAACAGGAGTTCTCGAACTCGAACCGTCAGTTTAGTTCCGGCAAATCCGCAGAGGCCTTGTTGGCTTGTCATTGTGAGAATGCAGCCAACGCCGAGACCAAGAATGACTAAGGCGAGATTCCCAACGTCTTTCTTCAACTTCGGAGGGTCATCGTCGAAGTAGACCTGAAGGGCTAGGCCTAGGAGGAAGGGGAATATGGACAGGATAGCTCCAGCTAGGATAGCTCCAATGAAGCCAAGCGCAAGTGCTATAGCCTCTGGCTTCTGAAGAGCCCACACCTCCGAAAGTCTAAACTTCTCCGTCGGTTTACGAGTTTGCTGTGTTGCTGTTGTTTCAGGATCCTCTGGCCTTGACATAGACCTAGATTTCTCAAACTGGGCCTTGACATCACTAACAGACTTCTCGTACGTAGCCTTCGACTTCTCCGTGTCAAGGCCAGCATGTTTCGATGTGGCTCCTTGGGAGGCAAGCTTGACGAGGTCGTAGTAGCAGCCGGCTTTGTCCATGAGCTGACGGTGATTGCCTATCTCGACTACGGAGCCTTGGTCGAGGACGACAATGGTGTTGGAATTCTTCACTGTGGCTAGTCTGTGAGCAATGACGATTGTTGTTCTTCCGAGTGAGATCTTGTCGATGGTTTTCTGGACTGCGGATTCAGATTCAGGGTCTAGTGCACTTGTGGGTTCGTCTAAGAGAAGGATGGTGGGATCCTTGAGGATGGCGCGAGCTAATGCAATTCGCTGCTTCTGTCCTCCTGAAAGCTGTGTTCCCCTGTCGCCAACCTGTCAAGTGAATTTGAGGTTTTATGATTAGATTCAAACTAAGTTTATGAAACATATACAACATTTCAAGGCATGGAAAATAGCACCTTCGAATCATCCATATACCTGAGTGTCGTAGCCCTGCGGAAGAGCTGATACAAAGTCGTGAGCATTCGCAGCAATACAGGCTTTGATCGCTTCTCTCTCTGTGGCATCCTCCTTCCCCATTAAAACATTCTCCATAATGCTTGTAGCAAAGAGGATTGGCTCTTGTCCCACCATTCCCATTTGACTTCTAAGCCACTTGACCTGCAGTGTCCTCAAGTCATGACCATCCAAGCTAATCACTCCTGCATCATAGACTTTCAATGATTTCCCCAATAACACAACTCCATAGCTGGAACATCAACTAGCTTTGAAATGAAAGCTAACCTGAAACTGGATCATAGAACCTTTCTATAAGAGCGAAAATAGTGGATTTCCCACCTCCACTAGCACCAACTAGGGCAAGTGTCTTTGAAGATGGGATAACCAGATTGATGGAGCGCAGGATTAGAGCATCTGGACGAGATGGATAAGCAAAGGTGACACCTTTGAACTCGATCCTTCCACGTGTACTCAATGATGTTCTTCCTTCGGGACTGTAAGGGTCGATCTCCGGAACTCGGTCTATGATTTCGTATATACGTGTTGCTGCTACCGTGCCTTGTGCAAACTGAGCAAAATATGACAGCGACAAAGCCAGTCCTCTGCATAGGAGAAGGAAGACTCAATCTCTAAACTCGGTTGTACTTGTATTATTTATATCAACTGTTTGAGTAATTGAGAAGTGTTGTCTTTTCGTACCTTCCCCCTAGGTTGACTCCAAAGAAACATGCAATAGCATCACCTCCAGAGATCTCCCCTCTTGAGACCAAGATTGCTCCATACCAAAAAGCCAATGCCCATGTGGAATATGTAACCAAGTAAATGACTCCCATTCCTGCCCCCTTCGCAAATCCAATCTTCGCTCCAATGGGAATAGAATTCGCCAACAACTCAGAATATTTAGCTGACAAATTGTCCTCAGCAACAAAAGAGAACACAGTTCTGATCGCGCTAATGGCTTGCTGAGCCACAGTGCCAGCTTTAACATATGCAGCCTATCCATTGCAGCATCCAAAAGTATGGTAAGAGACTCATTAGCTTGAAGAAGAAGCAAGGTTTCATGGATTAGTTCATATACCTCTTCTTTTGTAGCAAGGCCAACATAGACAGCCTTATAGGCAATGCCACAGAACATCATCAATGGGGTGACCGAGAAGACCACAAGAGATACCTTCCATGATCTCAAGAATCCAACGACATAGCCACAGAAGAAGGTGAATAGTTGTTGAACGAAATTCGCCATCTGGAAATAACATTTCAGGATTAATATGAAAAGCTTCATTGGTTAATGAGCATATGGCAGAAAAGGGACACTCATCACCTTCTCCCCCATCACTTCTTGGATCTGTGCAACATCACTTGCAATTCCGTGCATTATGTCCCCTGTGCCAACTTCAGTGTCAAAGAAACCAATGTTCTGTCTCAGAACTGCTCGGAGATACTTGGTCCTTATTCGATGAGCTGACCGGTCTCCCACCAATCTAAAACAGGTGATTTCTGGGTAATTCCGCAACAAAACCATTAATTAGCTTATCGGATAGAAGGCAAAGAACTTTGGAACTCTCAAGGGAAAAAAGCTTTCATATTTCTCCTTCTCACCTACGTATGCTCCAAACATCACCACCACTGAAAGTACCGTCATTGCAAAGCATATCTGAGTTGTCAAGAACAAAGCAATCAATCAAAGGAAAAATTCACCTGTGGAAACAGAAATTTTGGCGGGAGAATTGGAGGAAAAAGGGGAATTGCGCAATACCTCGCGAACATCGTCCATCATCTGATCGCTGGTGTCCTTTGCAATTTTGTTGACGAAGTTGCCAAACAGGAAAGAGTACCAAGGAAGAGCGCCGCCATTGATGAGAGCTCCCACACAGCCCAAGAACAGAAGGAACACGTCCCATTTACTCGAGTACTTGAACAAACCGATCAATCCAACCAGCTTCCTTCCTCCTTCTTCTTCTTCCTCCTCTTCTTCTCCTTCCTCGTCATCGTAATCATAATCGTCGTCCTCGTATTTACCCCCTCCGCCGCCGCTCCGATCGAAATCTCCATAACTCCGATCAGGAATCCCGGGGCTAATCGGCACATCAGCGTAAGCGTTGGAAACTGAATTCCACCTCGATTCTCTCCGATCTCCACGAATTTTTCCGGCGGTGAAATCGACGTCGATGCTGCCTTCCCTACTCTGCCGCTCCCTGATGGCTTCCAGCTGCCTCGATTGAGGAGAAACCTCCTGAACATACGGAGGCGGCGGCGGGATAGGCGGCAGGTCGTAATCTCTGACATTAACGATGAGACTGTTGTTATCCTCGGCGTAGTCGCCGCCGTCTTTGTAGCTCTGCAAGGGAAGCCGTCCGCTGGCACTAATCCCGGAGCGATCGTAGTACGAGGAGCTCTGCCCGTTTCCGGGCCCGCCGCGGGTGCGAGAGAGATCAAAGTCCTGGGCCGATCTCCGCATGGCCCGGTGGGCCGCAGGTGTAGCACCGGCCCATGGGCTCAAAATTGCGCCGAAGCTTCGGCTGTCGTTCATGTAGCCCGTGGGCTGGTACTGCCACGACACCTCGCCCTGCCATGACACGTCGCCGTCGGCGGCGAAGGCTGTGTTCGGCGGAGGGTGGCGGCGGCGGCGGGTTGGGGTGAAGCTGCCGCTGGGGGCGACGATGGACATGTCGGTGGAGCTGAAGAGTGCGAAGGAACGGGACAACGGAGAGGGTGGGGGAATGTCACCGCCGCGGCGGCGGCGGGCCGGCCGGGGACGGCCATTGTTGTTTGGAGAGCGGTGGTACGGGGAGGAATCCGCCATGGATGGTTAATTAGCGGGTAATGGTGGGTGGTGGGGTTTAAGTTCTTATGATCAGGAGATTGATATAGAAGTGGGAGGATATATAAGAAACAAAGCCATTGGAGATTAGATTAGAAGAAGTAATTAGCAATTACTACTAAGCTAACTACAAAGTATTAATAAAGAGTGGATTTTGGGGGTGCCGAACTTTGGTGGAGACACTAATGATTGGGACGTTATGAATAATATTTTGGGTGCCGAACTTTTCTAATATGTACAATCTAGTCCCCATGGTGAATATGTATAGCTAAGTGATACCTAAATATCAGCCAAATGCTTTGTTCCTATTAGAATTTAGAACATTGGTTGCATCAGAGTATTGGTTGTGTCTCATTTTAATAATGGACCTAATACAGGGTCAATTTAGGGCGCTATTTTGTTTGTTGGTCTTTGGAAGGCTCATTCTATTGCTTTCGCCTTTCAAAGGATAGAAAGAAGAAGGAAAAAATCATGTCCTCTGTGTTGTTTTATTACCGATTGATACACTATTTTGTTAAATTTGCATGATCTCGTTCTATCGCTTTTTGTCTTTCAACAGTAAACAATAGGGATACTGCTCTGCTCATACTATTGGGAGTGTTTTTCTTGCAAATGTTCGCTTGCTTGTGATTCATCTTTCAACGACGAGACTCGTGGCATTACACCATGCAAGTATCTATTCGTTCCCTTATGTCACATCTCCTATTTTTCACTCTCTGCTTTGCGATTGTGTTGCCTGCTGCAGGTATCTATTTGTATATTTTCGTGCACAGTTATTTTGGGCATTTAGAACATTGATTTTTGGCCGTCTCTCTATATGTGGATGAAAATCCAAAGAAATTTAGAGGTAATTATATATCAGCAATGCTGATTCGGTAATGGTGGAGATGCAAATGAGACATATGGAACCAAATGGCCCAATGGGAGATGAATGAAGGGGGGACAAAGGCCGGCCGGCTGTCAACTTATACATTCAACGTGCATATATGTGTGGATTGTTAATAATGTTGCCAAGCAAATATGAACAATTTTTCATCAGGTCCTTAAACATAACAAAGCTGACTTGTTCTATCTTTTCGTATTACCATGAACTTATCCTTATCAATGTGACATGCCAAGGATGACAAACCGACCGATATGTTTGATGTTGTAGCATTATTAGCGATGAATTGTTATAGCCAACGAGTTCGAATTTGGTAACTTTTCAGTATGTCCTCCTAACCCTCTAGTCGAGTCACATAATACAATCAAGTATCAATATAATTGTTGGAAAAAATACAGTGACTAGTTGTGTAAAAACCAGGACAAAAAAGAATAAGTAGCGTTTGTGAAACAGTACGGCATTGACGGTCTGCCGGATAAACTTTTTACTGGAACCTTAGTCGGTAGGTGGTTTTTAGCTGTGGTTAGTTCATGTTTAAACCACAATTTCAGCACAAAATACTTTATCACTAACTATTCCGGTACAATCTTTAATTTGATACACACTCCTTGTAATTAAGCATATTCATAGGTTATATAGGCTTCGATTGCTTGTTTAATGTAGCAGCAAGCATCGTTGAGTAATTTTCAACTTATCCCCCCAATCATTCATTAATTATTTTGATGTATTTGCTTCTCGACATAAATATATATGTGTGAGCATTGACGATGACATACCTACAAAGTTTTTGACAAAGATATGATTACAGATTTTAAACTAGCGCAATTTCTGCAACTCTATAGAAAAGAAAAAAAAACAGAAGTTATGACAAACTAAGAGTACCATGATCATCAAATTAGCGATAATCAAATTTTCTTCCTTTGTCTTAAACATAAGAATCAAATTTGATCATCAGTACCGTATTTTCGAGATGGAATTATAAGTATCTATTGTAATAGTTGAACCGTTTATTTTAACCAGGGGTGTGCAACTGTTCAGTCTGATCCGGACCGGACCAAACTCATTAGAATCGCGGTCCATTAGTGAAAGACAGGTTAGGACCAAAGACCTGATCACCATTGCATTCAGTCCATTTGGTCCGGTTCGGTCCGGTCCAAATATCAGTACGGTTCATCATTTCTTCAGTAATTGTGAAATCTATGTGGACCAAGGACCGGACCGCATTATACTCGGTCCAGTACAGTCCAGTCCAAACTTCGGTTGGTCCGGCGGACCATTGCACACCCCCTAATTTTAACCCAAATCGATATTGTACTATCGAGCAACAAGGATTGTAAAACCGTATCGGAGGTTGTACCGAAAAAACCATCGATAGTGTATTTTGTGCTGAAATCGTGATGCAACCATTTCCATACCACTGGATACCGCCTACCGATTTAGCCCACGGAAGAAAGTTTTTCCGGTCGAGTCTCTTGCACGGTACGATTTCTCAATCCTTCTACAGGGGGAATCCAACTACACAGTTCAATACATTGAATCCAACTACACAGTTCAATACATTGTTATTATCTCAGGTATAAGGTTTGCACCAGGGGAATCTAACTAGGCTAGGGTTAGGACTGAGGAGCTCAGTTGTTTGCATGGGAAACGGCTAACAACAACATGGGAATCTACAGAAGAAGGAAAAAGCGCGGGTACTTCTTGTTTCTTTCTCCTAATTGGCTGGGGGCAGGGGAGAAATACAATGCAAGGTCAAGCCTGCAAATATGCTGCGATTCCCAATCCTGATGCTACATTGGATTGGAAAACGTTAAAAATTACCGAACCCTCAACAACGAAAGAAGAGGCTACGAGGGGATTAAGACAAGAGAGGAGTCGGCGAACCCAAAGTCCATCTAATATTATACGTTAATTAATCAATGTTAAACTGTAGTTTAACTGGTGTAATCATCATCTGTAACTATCTATAAGCAACAATTCCTTCATTTCTTGTCCATTTGGCGCTTGGCGTATGCAGAGCAAAAAACAGAGGCTCCCGTTTTCTTCACATGGTTTCTTTCGCCCATTGCCTCCAGATTCTTTCCACAATTAACTTGGCTTGTGTTTTAGAGCTTGTGGGTGATGACTTAATGGAAGGGGAAGTAAGGGTGATAATCGGTTCGGTTTTGATTAATGACTAGCTTATTTGGTGTTTAGTGGTTGACGTCCATTAAATAAAAATGCATATCGAAAATCAAAGCAATAAGAATTCTTATTGGGTTAGTCGCATGTTACTTGTTCATTTAGCGTTCAATTTGACGGTTAATCACTAACCAATAGGGCTGTGCAATGGTCCGGTCCGTACCAGACCACACCGGACCAAACCGTTGTTAAGACTAGACCGAACCAGATCGAGTAAAATGCGGTCCGGTCCTTGGTCCTCATGAATTTTATAATTACTGAAGAAATGGTGGACCGACCTCATATTTGGACCGGACCGAACCGGACCAAATGCAAGAATGGTCCGGTCCTTGGTCTTAACATGTCTTTCACTAATGGACCGCGATTCTCATGAGTTTGGTCCGGTCCGGGCCGAACCGAACCGTTGCACACCCCTACTAACCAATAACAAAACCTCTACATGTGGCATTTTTTCTTTTGTTATTTTTAAAATTTTGTATGGTGTCCTTTTTAATAATAAAATATAATCATACAAATAATTCAGAATAATTTAACTACACTTCTATGTCGTTAACATAAAATCATTGTTGTAAAAAATAACAACAATGCAAATTATGCAATACATAATCTATCATGAATTCAAAATACAAATTCCAACACATAAATTACAAATAATCAAACCTCTTCTACCAAGACACAAGCACCACAAGATCATCACCATTCACAACACATTTTCTCCCAAAAAAAATATCATTCACAACACATCAAGGAAACAAACACTATTAGAGTGCGAGGATCGCTCTGTTGACTACTAATGGGAATTAGAGAGAAGTGATTTTCGAGTTCTCACTCTTAAATATATATGTTAGACTTTGAATGGAGGGTTGTTTACAATAGGTGTGCATTGAGAGTTTGGAATTGCGACTTTGGTTGGTTTTGAACTTTGACACTTTTCTCTTAACCAAAGTCCAAAACTATGTACGTTATACTAGTAGGTGGTCATCGGTTTTTTTATCAGTTAACCACTAAGTAAAATCCAATTAACTGAAATAGAATCACTAAGAAATTAATGGTTATTAATTAACCACTAACATTTGTTATCCATTTGATTATAAATTAAAACCGATAACCAACTAACCATTTACGGAGTGAAGAGATTATTTGACTATTTGGATGGTAGTGAATTTGTCTTGCTGCTGGCCATTGCCATTGTCATTGCCACTTTGTTTCTTGTGTCCTTTCTCGCCATTGGGAAATGACGGTGAGGTCTTATCAATGTTTTATCCCCATTTCCACCACTCTTTTTAATCTCATTCCAAACTTCCTATCGTTCCTTTGTGGTTGGCCTGCTTCTAGAGCACAATAGCCTTCTTTCTATTCCTAGGGAAAATCTGAGAATGATGAAACTAGTATGCCACTGGAGATTGGATACAGATTTTGATTACCTAGGCCAGAAATGAAGTAGAATCTTACGAGTCCATTTAGATGAAAGTTGCATCATAGTAATGCATCGATAAAGCTAGGAGACATAACATTTCGGATAATTACCGAAGCTTTTCCTCTGAAAAATTGTGTTAGTTAGTTGCTGCTCCAATGCCACCATCAAGGTCCATATATAGTTATTATCTAAACACAGAGTTGACAAACTCACATACATCTTATCTTGATCACACAAACGCTGGACAAAGAACTGATAATGAAATCATGGTAGTAGTAGAAAAACGTTGGAAAAGAATGCTCCTAGAAGACTGTCAAAAATCACAAGACTTGGCCAAATAGGCGGGGATCTCTCCAGTTCAGATTACAATATACAACACATTTCACCACCAAAAATTGGCATTTCTTCCCTCTGTATCATCCATCCTCTGTGTTCTCTTCTTGTACCAACCATTCATTCTTTACATCATATTTGCTGCATGAAGGTTCTCCTGGGCTGGACCAACCCTCCAACCAATGGCTGTCTTATTAACGTGTCTTTGAATCCCCTCCCTTGCTACGGAAGTTTGAAAGAGAAAAGAATGACCGTGGAGCTGCAACAATTGTGAGTTTGCGGGTTAGTAGAGTTTTCATAATGACTGATAAACTCAGTCTTGAGTTTAGCTAACACTACTACTAAGCATCACACATAACATAAGCTCAGATCAATATCGTATGGAAGTCATAACCGTGTTAATCTCTATGCGGAATCCTAATGGTCAGGGCAAAGTCTCTATAGAACAAGCCCAACATGGGATTGGATCAAAGTTCCCTTCTTGACAAAAGGATCAATCACAAGCAAAGAAGTACAGCAGAAAAAAGATGTCACCTTTAATTGCGCTTCCTGAAGCATGATCATCCCTCAATTTGAAGTTGGCAGGAGGTGCTGGAATGGAGGTATGCAAGGCTTGAACTGGAAAACAAAATAAAGAGAAGTATCACCTCATGTTCCACGCGTTGGCACGAAATAACATTAGAAAGAACAAGAGGGAAGTAGAGAGAAACCAAAGAGAGCATGTATATAGATAGTCATATCAAAATAAACACCCCATCACTATGTAGGCTCATGTACAAACTTCAGGAAGCAAGAACCAAGGCATGAGAGATTCAGTGTTCTACGGTTATATTCCTGATGTAAGTCACCTCCATCCACTTCTCGGCAGAACTCTAAGGGTACAGTAGTAACATGAGGGTTTCCCCAGATATAAAAATCAGTTCTCTTTTTTTTTTTTTGGTGGGGATAGGAAAATTTATTCATCACATATGCAGCCCAACTTTCAAGCACACCGAAAGAGAAATTAGAACATATATACCGGCAGCTCCAGTCTACAAGTTACCTTGCTCATTGAATAATTCTCCTTCATTAAAGCCGTCATCAGAAGGATGGCTGTGTGAAAATCCCATCCTCGACTTCCTCAAGTCTTCCGACGACCGACTAGCAGGATCTCGCCCATCTTCTGTATCATCATCTCCTTCAGAAGTAGTTGCAGAAATCCAGTCAGCCAAAGTCTCCCCACGGCTTTTCCTTCCGAACTTTATCAACCTTTTGAAACCTTTCGTTACATCTTTTCGGGAGTGGTTATTAGATGAACTAACAAGAACAGGTTTCTGAGCACTCCCCCACTTCTTTCTCATTCGTGCAGCAGCATCTGCTTCTGCTTGAGACAGGGAGTGAGAGTTCCATGATGCGGGGCTCCCCATTGGAGAATCCACAAAAGCATCAACATCTGAGGTCTCATGTTGATAAGAAAATGGGTGCATGTTCCATGAAACAGGGCTTTCTGCAGGTGAATCTTCTACAGCACCGAATGCCAAAGGCACGGATGCAGGCAATTCAGCAACTGAGGAAATATCGAGCTGAGATCTTTGAGGGTCACTGTTGTCTGATTCTGACATAACCATCTTCTCAGATTCATGACTCAGTCTTGACTTACCATTATTATCAACATTCACACATTCTTCCACCTCAGTTGTCTCAAGCTCCTCTTCTGCTACATCCCTAGCAACGTCAGGATCATCCTCCATTTCAAAAGCAGAATCTTCAAACTCATCTTCACTTCTCAAAGTCTCGGAGATAGCTGATGATGCTTGGAGTTTTGCAATACCTGGTCCAGCACCTGGACCTATCCCATTCCCCTTCTTCAAGAAAGTCTTTGACTCAATCTGATCTTTATCAGATTTCAATGGGGCCAAAATAGTGGCATCAGTGGTGAGAGGAGACAAATCCTTCAACTCAGGAGGACCGGCAGTACTTTTCCTCAAAGCCTGAGAACGTCGTGACTTATTATCTTCTTTTGTTAGTGGTACATCTTCTCCATTGCTCTTGCTGCGAGAGTTTCTCACCTGAGAGCGGTTTGTAGTCTTGCCAGCTCCAAGAAATGGCTTTGTGTTCTCCTTCCTGAATTCTGAGAAGTTTGGAACTGACTGGGCAAGATGATTTTCAGATGGTGTTCTTCGCTTTCCAGAGCTCGGGTTGGAACTTTTCACTGCTGACCGTGGAACAGGTGCTGCTGCAGCTATCCGAGTCGATGAAGACACATTCCGGTTTGGTGTGAACTTTTTGTTCTGACCAGCTGCCTCATTAAATGATTTGTCTTGCCCATAAAACTGTTCTGAATAGGCAGGGAGATCTTCATCCTCGTCACTTTGGATTAAGTCGGTAGGGAGCTGTCAAAAAGTGAAGCTCATTCAATGAGAAGGGTACAGGTGTTGGTGATACAAGAGAGGACTAATAAGAAAAGCAGGGCAACAATAGGGGGAAAAGGTCGACACTTGTTAAAAGTTCTCAGCTTCAGCACTGCTCATCCCCCACAATTGAATACACAGATTATAATATACCTGCTGTTTCTTAGCGCTTGAATGAGCAGCGAATGATCTCAGCTTCTCAGTACGTCGACGAGCACGTGAATCCTGCTTATCAGCAGATGCTGAAAATTTAGATTTCATCTCGGCCCTACTTCGATCAAGGCTATCATGCATGGCCTTCAACTTAGCTTCCTTCTCTGCCCTTTTGGTACCCCACTCTTCTCTCAGTTTTGCATCTCTCTTCTTCATGTACGTTTCATAGAACTTTCCTCTAGAATCATCAGAAAAACTGAGGTCAGAGAAATTCCTTCTCAATGAGCTGCTATAGTCTGGCTGATCTAACATTTTTGTAGGTGGAGTGTTGAACTCTAGTGTATCACTATTTCCAACTGCTTCAAGCTCCACTTTCTTGATCTGAAAATGTATAGGAGAACTCTCCACTGCTGCTGCTGCTGGTCTTTTCTGAATCGAAGTCGCCATCTGTTGTTCAATCTGTATTTCTATAGGCTTGTTTCTCCTGTTGGGGTTCGATTGATCCCCAGGAACACGAAGTTTATGTTCTGCGAAAAGCTTTTCAAGTTCATTTGCCTTCATTTTCAGCTCATCATTCAGCTCCTGATTTCCTTTAGATTGTCGTACCCTTTGAAATTGCTCAATAGATGATGCTTGTGCAGAAAGGTTACTTTCCTGAGGGTCCGGGGTCCTTTTACCAAAATTAATTGGTTTGCTGCTTCCGAAAGGAACAGAACTCTCATCATTTCCATCCCCCAGTTTCTTCATCTGTTCTTCCCCACTAAAAACTGGTTTTTGCATCTTCACTGTTGCTGGTGCTTCAAGGTTTTCCCCCTTTGTTGAGTCCCTCCCAGAATATGAAAAATCCTTCTTCCCTGCTCGCTCGGCTTTGCTGTTAAAGGATCTCCACTGAGGCTGAGATGCAGACTGATCACCTGCAACCTCTTTATGTAGCAACAAGTTCTTCGATCTCCCACCTAAGCCACCTTCAAACTGCCCTGAAAGAGATCTACCATGACTCTTAGGCCGTGAATGATTTGGGAGATGATCTTTTGCCTCGGTGTCTTCAACTCTCTTCCCAAATTCACTATCTGGCACCCTAAGCCGCGAATGATTTGGCTTGCCTTCAATCACCACAGGATCTTTATCTCCACCAAAACTGTCTGCCCTACCGAATGTGACCCCTGATCTCACCTCCCGAAAACTGTTATTCTCCGCCCCAGCCTGAGGCCCCCCTTGATCATTCCAGTTAACTTTATTATCCTTCAACTCCAACTCATGGCCCTTCCCTCCAACACTAATTGTGTGCAACTCACCCTGATCTTTCAATTCAGAAGCAGAAATAGGATCGTGTAAATCTTTCAGGTCCTTGCTATTATCCTCGGAGGAGAAAGGAAAGACGGTAGCTTTGGCTAGGGATGCAGCAGATGATGAAGAGGGTATGCACAATGGGCTATCCGTGTTGTTACCATCCTTTCTGTCATTGCCTGTATCTATGCTCATATCACTAGCTCCACTCCATCTCTTCAGCACAGCCTTTTCAGCCGCAGGTGCAGAGGACACATCAGAGGATAATCTCCTTAACTCAGCAGATTTTCCAACAGATATTGACTTGCCACCAGAGTTTTCCTTCTGCTTGTTCTCAAACAGGCTAATCCGGTCTTGAACGCTTAGTCGCCTGGAAGGTTGGCTTGGTAGTCCAGGTGATGACTCAGGAATAGCTCCTTCCTTCTTCTCTTCTTCCTTCTCTTTCTGATGCTGTACAGGAAGGGAGGAAGAAGACGTCTGTTGTCTAGCTTGAGATCGGATAGTTGTGTCCAGGCTTCTTTGCTCTTGTCCTGCAAGGTGTTTGCCTTGGAAAGAGGGTTGGTGGGACCCACTTGGATCATCATTGGAATCATCAATGGACATGTCTGATCCCCATGATGACCGGACAGCTTGATCCTCGACACGTGGCTTCAACTGATTGATCAAATCCACTCGTCTCTGGCACAGTGAGATATATTGTGTACAAGCTTCGCTGCAAACAGCACACAGCAAAAAGTTTAGTGATGTCTGGAAAAGAAAAGAAAGAAAAGCGATGTAATACAGCACAAAAAGGACAGACCTCTTTCTATTCTATTTAAGTAAGGTTTAAGAAAATAATTGTAAAGGGAAAAGTGGTGGGAAGTACAGGGGGAATGGACCCTTGAACCAAAGAAAACAGCCTAGTAACTAACAATAAACCTATCACAAATCAATATCCAGGCATTGGACAAGAAGAGATCAAGATCAAATCATGTGGTATTAGATTTGGCATTTTCCCATTGGAACCATTTGAAGAAATCTAAATAAACTAATCAAGTGCCAACAAGATAATGTTAAGCAGTTGCAAGTGGATCAGAAGGCTAATATATGTGTACTCTTTTGGCTTTAAACTAGAAAAAGGAAGCAAATCTGAACAACTAGGCACAAAGAAAAGGGAGAAAAGATAATTTTGGTACAATTCCAAAGAGTGACCAAAGTACTTACTTAAGACGATAGGCCCCAAAGCAATCTGCAAAGAGCTGGAGTTCCAATATAGTCTCAGGGTTGAAGCCAGCAGCTGAAGCACGAGAACAGGCTGTAACTAAATCCTGCCTAACCGCGCTCAGCCGAACATCTATTGCCCTCAAAAGCTCTTTCCTGCATAGATGGCCATTAGGAAACCACTGGGGAAAGGGTGACAATAGAAAACAAATTCAGCTGAAATATTAACATCACTGATTGTACAAACACAGAAACCCCATTCGACTAATACAATCACAAAAATAGTTTATTTTTCAGAAGAGACTGCATGAAGAAATAAGGTAGACACTCATGTTACAACTATTTCTGTGCTTTAGAAACATAAATCAAGCACAGCTGAAAACCACAAATGTCGGAATGGAAAACAGAAAACAGGGACATGGAAACTTACTTTGTTGCATCAGCTCCTTCCACGGAACCTGTACCACCCTCACCTGGACAGTTTATCAATCAACCAGTTAGGGTAAACAAGCACATTGCCGAAAAAATATAGTGCAAGAGAAATATCAGTGTAAATTAAGATCAAGATGTCTAGTGTCACAAAGTTAAAGATGCAAACATTGAAAGAGAGCAAATCGGACAGAGCTTTTGTATCTCAGCAACATAATAGATGTGATTGATGCGAACATGAAAATATCATTGAAGTCCTATAGATGCAAAACTACCAATTAGTTTGACGACAAAGACCCTTAATCTTACTTTTTCTTAAATCTCTATCAATAGTTCAATACCATGGACTTTCCACACCAAGCTTTAGATTTGATGAATTATCAGCCATCAAGAGCACCATTGTATGACTGACAGAGAGGCTAATTTGCTCTTGTCATTAAGTTCCATAGGCTAGACTACCTTGCGCTCTATTGTTTTTCCTAGTAAAAACCTCCACAGAACCACTCAAGGGCTGGCTTATTATCAACAGTTCCCAAGACATTGCTCATTTTCAAGCAAGCAATGTCGCAACTGAAGTACGATAATGATTCAAGTTTCAGAAAACACAATGGTATATCTAAAACATGCTTCTTCAAGATAGTGCCACGAATGTTGACCAGCAAACACTTCCAAGTAGTTCCAACCACCAAATACCTTCCATCTCTAGTGGGTCCTTTTCTTTCCGGTACCTAATAAATTCATCTCGCATGAGTTGCGACCAGGCACACCTTATCCTTATCAACGAATAGGATATAACCCAGACACTGCACATAGAGAAATCCTTTCTCCCACAATAGGAGATCCTGATCCCAATTGTTCATAGTATTGTACATTTATGAAATAAGCTTAAGACAGAACCATTTGAAATTACATTAGATACTCTCATCATAATAACCATAAGGGAGAGCGCTTTAAGCAACCCTCTACTTGTTTCTTATCATGGAAAGAATAAACATACCTTGCTACAAAAAAATCTGTACGCCAGATCAGACCATGTTACACCTAAACCAGACTCTTTAGTGATGTAGCAACATTTCCACATACTTCTGTTTAACTGAAAATGGCAAGTTCTAGATGTCCACAACCTACTGCAATCCAACCATTACTTTCAAAATGAAAAGCATAAGATGATTTAGGGGTTGTTTGGTTTTGTGGTTGTCTGAGTGAGATTGTTAAAAGCATTGTTTATAATTCATCGTTTGTATAGACAATACATGTATGTTTGATTTGATATAACAGAAACAATCATTCAAAATGAATGATTGTACAATCTCAGCTTTTGGATTGTTTAGTTGAGATTGTTGTCCCTTTTTGTTCCAACTTTGACCTTTAAAATTATCTTTTCATTGACAAGAAGGGGTACAAGTGGCATTTCTGTTAAAAGTGACTTTCCCTTCTAAATATTGAAAACACAATCACAAGTACCAGATGTTGTAATCTACAATAAACCAAATTCAACAATACATGTATAATGTTATACATGTATTGATCACAATGCACCAATTTAAAAATCAGGCAAACCAAACCACCGCTAAGTTTTTATTATTGGGGATAAGCATTAACATAAGTCAATAAATAAAAAATACTGAAAAAATTATGGCATCTTTGTTTCTTTCAGACAAAGGAAATATGATCTTCAGGGAACTAAGTTGCCAAGAACAGGAGAAGAATACAAACCTGAACTAGACACTTGGCCTCCACCCCCCTGAATGAGGAAGCACTAAATCAGTGAAAATGCAACATTTGCCTATACCAAACACAATGTGCAAGACCAGATTGTGGTTATTACCTGAGAATATATTTTTCGAGCTCCTTCCAATTGCGACATCTCAGCATCAAATGTGTTCACCATCTCCAAAACCTCAGGTGTGCTGACAAACCGCACAAACCTGAAAAGGATAGAAGTGCAAATAACATCAAAATATAGATTGCGATCAGAGTACAAATGGCATCATCAAGAACAAAAAGAATCAGTTCTGCAGGAAAACCTCTCCAGTGTTCCTTTGGTGAACCAAGTCTCAGCATTTCTGTGATTTCCAGCTTCAAGTTTAATCGAATTAACTGCATGTGCAACCTGCTCTTCTGCAACCTTCAAATGAGTCACAAATGGCTTAACAAGTCCTGAAGCAAGCTTCTCTGTCGTCCCATTCCTCGATACAAACAGCTCACATCTGCCAAAACAATATTAAAGGGACAATAATGCATGAGAACCCACGAAAAGGCATTAGAAGAAGAAAACCCCACACAGATTATACTCACCGCGAGTGCCTCGGCGACAGTTGAAACACAGCATAATCAAGAGATGTATCAGGCCCCATTTCCTTCTTTCAAATAAGCTTAAGCCACCGGTTCAGTTCTTAGTCCCACCATACACATATTCACTCCTGCACAAAGAGTCTGCAGATCGTCCAAATCATTCATGATCAGGTTTCAGAGCTACCAGTAATATAGACATCCATATTGCAACTAGGACAATACCGCGAGTGCGAAGTGCGGGAATGCTCAGCAAAATCCTAAACGGACGGATCTAAAGCCTACAACTTTACCAAATGAAAAGAGAGAAGTCGATACAGAGCAACCAATCATAGCCCAGATCTGACTGGTCATCAAACCGAAACCCCAGAATGCAAATAACTAGAAAGCAAATGCGCTCTTGCTTAAGCGACCGTAAGGACCAAATTCAAATACCGAAACCGAGCAAACAGAAGGGTGGGAAAGCACCCACTACTAGCAGAAATCAAAAGGCACAAACTTCGAATGCAAAAGGGCGGAAAAAGGAAATGACTTCACCAAACAAATCCGGAATTTTGAAAGGAAATGTGGGTCAAAGCATTACTTCGGATGAGAATGAGAGAGATCTTGGGAGATCCTTCGTTGAGTCGTTCTTTCAAAAGGGAACCTGCATTTCGTGGTTTTTTCAATCCGGTGGGAGGGGAAAGGAAAGACTTCACCTTTCCTAGTGGGTTTTTGCGGATTGTTTGTTGGTGAGAGAAATGGGAAGAGAACCAACCCCCTAAAAGAAATCAGAGAACCCTCAAGCAGCTTGGAACTGTATCGGAGTGATGGGGTTTTCTTCCCTTCTGGTTGTTCTTTTGCTTTGCTTTGCTTTGCTTTGCTTTCTCTCCCCTCTCTCTCTCTCTCTCTCTCTCTCTCTCTCTCTCTCTCTCTCTCTAGAAGGGGCCGTGTGTGAGCTTTGTGAAGTACAGTGGAGGGGCAAGAGCAGAGAGCGTTTGAGGTTTTGGCTAAATTGGCTCTGCCAGTGTTCGTTTGTTGTGTGTTTGCTTGCTTACGCTTGGTTTCTTTTGTGTTTTTCTTTTCCTTTTTTTCGAATTTTGCTTTTTTGATGTCTTTAGCATTCCGTTTGATAGTTCAGACAAAATCCCTTTTCCTTATTTTGATTTCAATATCTCTTTTAACGAAAATCTGTTCTTTTCTTCTGCCCATAATTGAGTCCTTCTTTCCTTAATTACCATTCTATCCCACTTCCCCAACCCCCTATATCACTTCTATAGTTAGTAAAATACGGTACGGGAAAGTTACGTAAAAAATACGTACGGGTATTTTACGTCGTCTCTAAGTTAAAGGTACGTTTAATAGTACGTTATTAGGTAAATATTTAAAAATAAATTATTTTAAAAATAAATAAATATATAAATAATAGTAAAGTTCACAATTTAATTCATTAAATACGGATATTAAACGTGTTATACGGGTTTTATACGTGTTTAATACGGGAGCCATCCAATGAACGGAAAAAAATGAAACGGCTTGACAATAATACGGATACGGAAGTTTTAAACGGATAAAGTACGTACGGGTACATATACGTGTATTAAACGGAGTATTTACTAACTAATTCACTTCATAATTCATCATCTTTCATTATGAAAATAATAACATATTGACGGATAAACAAGAAATGTCAAAGAACCCTAATTCATTTTATCACAAGAGATTTGTTTGGTCGTTATACTTGCGAAGGAGAAATATGATCTCGAAAGAGAAATCAAGCGAGAAATTTTCAATGTCAAGACGTTAAAAATATCATAAGGTTTTAGCGAGTATCAAATAAGGAGAGCTGGATGTTATAATCTCAAAATTCACATCAAAAATAAATTTTTTTCTCTCTATCACAATTGTTGATGAACAAATAAGTCATCTAATTCGGAAGTCATGCATCTATATATAAAATTTATAAACCAACAACTCCACAAGCGGCTAGATGAGATAAATAAAGTAAGGCCAATCACGTTAAATTTTAAGCCGAGACATTAAACGGTAAACCAAGACACGAGTTGGTTTCCAATTACTACGTTTTAGAAGAAGATACATGTAAATTCTCGTCTTCTTCAACCACGAATCACCTTAAATATAAAGGAAGGATTAAATTTGAGTAAATTTTGGATGCGGTCAAGTTAAAATTTGAGTAAGTAACAATGAACATCTCTGGGAACGATGTGGTTCACACTTGATTGAATTATACGAATTAAAATGCATCGAACCATAGTAAGTATTTTAAATTTGCTTTTGATCCATGAGTTATCTTAAACACGTATTTTGGTCACTTTATAGCTTCATTTTTATTTATTTTTCAAATCCTAATTCGATATGATTCTGAACTGAAGTCACTTATCCTAAGTAAAAATTTAGAAAGCAAGAATATCAATGAGCCTACCCAAATATAACTTGGGCATAATAGTTATTCAATAAATATATTGCATTATCAGAAAAGGACCACAATTGAAGAACAGAGGATTTTGTCATTTTCACAGGGAAAGAAAACAAAAGAATAGAGGTTGTTTCGGTAATTTATGGAGAATAATCAAGAGGGAGGTCCACAGTCAACATTCCACTCGTTAGCAGGGAGATTCTGAATATGTGATAGATTTCAACGGTTCTTTCACACAAGATTTATAAATAAAATTGAAGTGGTTGCCTTGCTATGTAACAACAGGTATGCCTTGGAAACCCTAAACTTGTGTTCTCATTGATTCTGATAGAGCTTATATACATCGTTTGTGCATTACATGACAAAGATTACTAGATGTGAACTTGACAGAGAAGAAGTACGAAATGCAGAGTAAGGAGGGAACAACAACTGAACAAAGGAAAGAGACGTTGTGGCTTCAGGGCACAACGACGACGTCTTGATTCTCTTTGGCTTTGGTAGTCAGCAACGGTGATGTTTCGACCTTCTTCGTTCCGTTTAGTTGAGACGGCATCGTTTCAGGTGTCTCGCTCTTCGCTTTGCCTGAAACGACATCGGACCAGCTGCTTCCTCTTGTAGCTGTTGAAATGGCGGTTGAAAATTTTGATTTTTTCTCTGATACTATGCATTTTGAAAATACTGACTCATATCATTTTTCAAAGTTAGAGGCAACCCTCCTACAATAATTCCTATCATGCATCAATCCAAACACATGTACATAAATTATATAGTCGAATAACCATAGATTAGGCGAATATGTTGTATTTCAATGGTATTATGTTAGCAATTTAATTATAATTTCATGAATAGGCAGTAAGGAAATTTAGATGATACATTGGAGTCAATGATAATTTTTCAATAAAAAAAATGAAATTTTCTGTCTGCCTTTTTCCTCTCGTAGCTAGGAAAACCTTAGGAACTATTTATTTACAAGTAGAGAAGGTAAACAAAAAGTGAGGTGACCTTGAAAAATCCAAAGCATTGTTAGTATTTTTCAAGACAATTCATTTTATAAAATTAATCCATGAAAGTGGACTATATAATATCCTTATATTAGTTAAGGATATAAGGTTTACGTGAATCACCCCAATGCACATTATTGAGTCACTTCTTGTGTTAATGGGCAGTGAGAGAACATAAAAGAAAGAAGAGGAGATAACTGGATTTTGCTTGTACTCCACCATCTCAAAAAGTCCATGGTGTAGTAAAAGGCAAGGCAATTGGGGATGCATGTTTGCCAAAGGTGCTCTAAAAATTCCCAACCATTCATTTTCAATTTAAAGCTACAGAACCACTTATATACCCTAATGTTGTCAAAGAAAGAAGATGCAGAAAATCATAAGACTCACCACCAGAGTCTCCTTATTCAATTTAATCTCACATGGTAGGTCCTATTTTGTTTCCTTTGGTCTTTTTATTGGTTCAACTAACATTCACAATGTTCTACACAATGTCATACTCCATTGAAGGAGAGGAATAAGGTGGCTAGGGCCTAGGGATGGCATGCTCTGAGTTTCCTATGATATGGATGTGGCTTAATTGTTCTCATTTACACTATTGATGCGTAATGAATATATATGAAGGAATTGTTTGGTTACAATGGTCTATCATATTTTATGATATTTTTAATTTTACATTCAATGACAGAATTACTCACAAAGTAGCATGGTCAAACGATAGTTAAATGTACATGCAAACCTTGTAAAAAATATGAAAAGTGAGACAATTGGTAAGATTCTTGACTCCTTCACAAGGTAACCAGTGTTTGGATCCCTTAAGTTTCTTTTCTTTGACCCTCTTACTTAGATTTGTGTTGTGCCACTATTGAGATCCACGAACTCGATGTCGAGATATGTTAATAATTGCTTCAAGAAATGTACATACATAAGTAGACACGAGCATGACAAGTAGTCCGCAAACCGTGAAACCGCAAAAAGTGAATATAAATAAATAATTGTCAATTTGGGGATTGAGATTTGAGTGCCTATTATTATTCCTCTCCCGCAAATCCTTCTCACTCTCCCTCTCCTTCTCAATCTCCGATCTACCTTCCCCAAATCCCTCTCTCTCTCTCCACCTCCTCCTCTCTCTCTCTCTGACCATCTAAAGCCCCTCAATCTCCGATCTGGAAGGCAGGGAGACAACTGACGTTGACCTAGGAAGGGGAAGAAGGACATGGTAGCGGCGAATCTAGAGTCGGCGGCAGAGGACAAAGAGAAAGAGTCGTCGAAGGTGGAGGCTTCGAATCTTTCCAGTTCTCGTCCACCTCCAAGGCTGAAGAAGGCAGGGACGACGGCGGCGATTTGCTCTCAATCTTCACGGGCATCGACCCTCTTTTCCTTCGTTTGATGGGTCTCGATTGTCTCCACCTTCTAATCGACGGAGGCGACAACTTCGGCGGAGAATCAGAGTGAAATATTGTGTGGTGCATGTCTGATTGGGGCGCCGAGGTTGGGATTGGGGAGATTGGGATGCCGATGTCGAGATTGAAGGACGAGGTGGGAGGCCAGATCTGGTAGAGGTCGAGAAGCTTCTGGATGGGGCGGAGCAGAGGGTGTGTCTTTAGCCTCTATTTCATTCGACGGTTACTTATCGGTGCACCGAGTTTTCTCGGTTAGCAACCGTCGGTTTCCGGTTATGGATATCGCCTGAAAATGGCAACCGACGCCGACACCGAACACAAATAATCGGTTTCGGTTGAACCGATTAACCGCGGTTTTCGGGGCGGTTTTCGGTTTAACCGAGTAACCGGCGACCGATTAACACCCCTACTCGAACTAATAAAATGAATTTTACCAAATATGCTGCAACTCATTTTCCCCAGAAACCATAATCTATACTCATTACTACCTTAACATCATATATGATATATCCAACCCTCTGGTCTCATAATCCCTAATCTCTAGTTGAGTATGTAGTTAACTTAGGGGTTGTTTGGAGAATATGAGTTTAAATCTATAGATTGTCAACAATCTAAAGATTCTAACTCTTCGGATTGTTGTAAACAGATTTTAAAATATTTATTGTTTGGTAACTGTGATTGTTAGCATTCATGTAAAATAAAAAATTTAATTTTATATTAAATAACATGTTTATCCTTAATAAAAAATTAGAGTGGTTCGAGAAATATAAAAAACTTTGTTGATAAATATATTTCATGTGATAAATAAATAAAAGGATGAGAAAAATTAGGAGAGAAAATATCTCACGAATCAAGATATAGAATCTCTCTGATTATGAGAGATTTGATATCCGCAGATTTTAGAGATTTGAAATCTCTAAAGCTAGAATCCACAATATAAAAAGCAACAAAAAACATAACTTTCTACAAAATCTACGGATTCAGTGAATCCATATCCTGAATCATGTTCTCCAAACGACCCCTTAGCATTATGCTACATTGGAACAAATTTGCTTCAGAGTTCTAACACTACGTTTCTTTTGAAATATGACTTATATAATCAAATATTTGGGGGTTTTTTATGAATTGCGTAAGGAGGATATCAAACTTATACATTGTCATACTTATTTTTATATAACAATTAATAGTTTATAAAGAGGATACGGGTAAATGCCACAT